AAAACAATCTCTGGAAGAAGGTCCACAGCACATGAACAGGGACTCTGCACAGGACCACTGATCACCTCTTTGTACAGGGCCAATGGAGAGGCGACTTGCATGGATGACTTGTGAAAAAGATTTGTCATCTTCATTTGAGGAGCCTTCTTGCAGAGTTCCTGACTGTTTACTAGTCAGTCTTGATAGTAATGGCTTAAATCTTTCTTGAAACAAATCTGGATGGGGAATGTCTTTCATAGACTGATTTGAAGTAAACTTCCTCATTAACTGTATCTCAACTGCTCGTTGATTTGTACCATACTCTCCCAAGATGCCGTTGTAACGCTCAAAACTGAACAACCAAAAAGCATATACAGGACCGTAATCCAAAACACAGTCTAAAAGATGTGTATGCAAATGCATATTTGGGGTGACTGTTTCTTTACCATACAATTCTTCAAAACGCTTGCCAAAGTTTAAGAGGTGTGTGTGAGCCAACATTGCTTTAGCCTCTGTTATAACAGATGCACATAAATATGAACAAGCCAAAACAAACTCACGCCACAGTTCTAAGTCATCCTTTGGCAAGATGTTCCATAATGAATATATGGAAAATATCACGGTGAATGTCTTCCATTGATCAGCAGTGAAACCTCCATAGTTGTTCCTAATTTTCTTAGGCATTCTTCCAACAGAGGCTGGCACTTTCACCTTGTCCAATTTCTCCTGTACCTGAAGCAAGTCGTTCTTGTCAAGTAATGGCTTGTCTGAGTCAAGCCAAATGTTCCTCATGACATGTTTTGCTGTTCCTGTAAAGAGGTTATGCATTGGATCAACTATGTGAAAACGGACACAGTCAAAGTACGGTAACTGCATCAGTTCGCTGTACCTAGTACCATACTTTTGCTCCAAGGAGGAACAGTCACCTGCAGAGGTCTGGTTCAGGATCTCTTGAGCTTGCTGCCGGTGTTCCTGATTACTTCGTAGAGGTGAAGGATCGAATCCAGAGAAATCAATTTTAGTTGCCACTGTGCCTGGAAAATGCTTTTTACACTTAGAACAGCCAACGTTTGATGCATGACCTGTAAAACCACAAACCTTTCTTGCTGCAGGGACATCGCAACCTACACACAGAAGTGCTGCACGAAATACCTGGGTTGAGGTCAGGCCATGTGCTTTAATACTTACACCATGTTCCCACAAGGCTCTCAACTCAGCAACAAGAGGCTGCAAGTAAGTATTAATGTTCAGTTTAGGTTCATGGGGCCCAGGAATGACACCAATCAAAAACACATTCTCTGGTTTGAACCTTTCAGTTCTTGGAAGGTTCATCAATGCCATGTATAGAGCCCCCACACTGTACAGTGAGTGTCGGAATGGCTGAAACCAGTCTACATTCAGCATAAAACCATAATTTCTAGGTGCTGCAAGGAAAGGTTTTCCAAAGGCAAATTGCCATTCCTTCCAGATGCGACCATCAAATACATCAGCTAGATATCCAACTGGAATATCCCTGTTTCTCCATGATTCACACATAGAGGCAAAGCCAGGTCTTTGAAGAAAATACTTTAGATTTTCAGTGACACTATTGTAGCAGTACACTTTGAATGGGTAAAGTTTTGTTTCACCTGTCTTTAATGTTACCTCTTTCAGTAGGGGTTTCCTGCATGCAGTCCTGCGAAAATGCTGTCGGTGATGTGGGTACTGGACAAAAGTGCAATTTTTGAGACTTTTCGTCTGTGAAGAGTTTCATAGCAATCATCAAAGTTATATAAACTGTGACACTTGGGGCACACAACATACTTTATGAACTTATCCCGATCAAGTCCAAGTTGTTTCGAAGCAAATGGAGTGATTTTGGAAGTAACATACCAAACCTTTCCACTATTGGAAAAATGGTTCCCAAGGAATCAAAAACTGCATGTAAAAAAGCAAGGAGTGCTTCAAAGGCATTGTCAGAGAGTGAGCAAAAAGATGACCACAGGCATAGAAATATTAGCATCCAACGAACAATAGCTCTTGCACTTGCGATTATTCTTGAGGTTTCAGAGACATCCACCGTGGGCACATTACTTAGACCTTGAGGGAAGTCTTCATTGACATCTTCACCTGCGATGTTCCAAAATTCCATCAAAACATCTGGTCGCATCTTTTCATGGTACATAAAATCACTGGAATCTGAATCACTCCCTTTTAATAACAAATAATCCTCGACTTCAAGATTTTTAATGGGCACTCCAGTGGTATCTGATAAGTAATGAACAACAAAAAATAATACTTACTACTAATAATATTATTACAAAGTATTGGATGCACACTCAATTATGTATAGTCCTAACAGATCAGGGAAATCCAAGATTACAAAGTCCAATCATATCAGTCCACAAGCTACATGTAACCTTTCAATAAGATATTAGTGAGGTATTTTAAACCAAGTTACATAATACAGGTTTCAAAATAAAAACAATCAGCAAAGAAGTGTAACTTTTACGCCATTTTGGTATTGGATGTTTGTTTTCAAATTGATTGACATATAAAAAGGGCACCTCATCATCAAAATCGCTATTTGGGGAAGTGGGTAAGGTAAAAAATAAAATTATATTACCTTAGTAAATTTAAATTAGCAAATTTATTGTTTTCGACCGAGGACAGATTTCTGACGAAGGTAAACTTAAAAGAATTAATTCTCCAAACAATTTTCAAGTGCGACCCATGCCTAATGCAATGAAAATCCGAATAAGAATCAGCAAGACCAGGTTTTTAATATGAGCCTGCGCGTGACTGAACACCCCACCCAAACTCTTGTTTTTTCACTAAAACCGCTGGATGCCAAAACCTGGTTGAGTGCTGTAAAATTGCGCGTCCCTTTTTGGAAAATGTAACTAAACCTGCGTTGCACGACGCACAGACCCGAGACTTTTTTTTTCTGATCATTTACATTTTTTTTATTTTTTATTTTTTTTAGTAACATTTATTTGGTTACCACACTTCTAATGACAATACTTACATTTACAGGGAGGAAAAATACAAAAAACGTACAAGAGATAAAGGAAAAATACAATGTTACAGCATTTACAAGTAATTTAAGCCCAAAAAAGTTTTACAAAATTGACTACTATTTTCAAAATTGCAAAATAAAACACGATACAACAAAAACATAAGGAGTCTGTCCTACCAACTAAAAGGTGCTTTGCATTTGCATTTGTTTCTGCATCACTTTTAACTTTTCGAACTTTTGGAATTATTTAATCAGCAAGTTACCCAAGACTCAAGACTTACATAAACTTACTTGGTACATTTATGATCATGAGTCTATTGTAACCAGGGTGGGGGAAGCTACTTCCCATACATTCTCTTAAATGAAATCCAAATGATGTTCTCACAACTTGCGAAGCGATCAGCAAGGGTCTTGCCAGCGGATTTGTGTACTGATCATGCGCATTACGTCAAAAACCATAGATCAACGGTCTTGAGAAAAAGCAAAAACACGGCAGTCGAAGGCGGGACTGTTTCTCACTATTATATTTTGGTAATTCGCAAATTTCTTGATTTTATGTCGCTTTTCAGACATAGTGTGTGGTTTTCTTCTTCTGTTAAACAATTTCCCTTTGCAGAGTTGGAGTATACAACATATAGCTCTGAATAGCTGCTAAGATCCGCCGGAAGAGTTGAGCTATCGAGCAGTGTTTTGCTGCAAACCATAGGAAAGTTAAAGTCGCTTCAAGGTACAGAGCTTTCAGTAATAGTTGTGATTTGTTTTAGGATCGTTTTGAATTTTAACTTTGGATTCAAGGTGTTGACTGATCGAAATAAACGAAGTGAAATGTTATGAAGTGTTAATTTTTATTCAGTTATGATATCTACAGCAGTAAGCTCAGTTTAATAAAGCTCTCTTGAATATACCTGCTTCCGATAAATTTGACACTTGCTCCAGTAATTTTTTATATCAGTATCAAGTTATCCTTGCCCAGCAAAAACGATGTAACCTATAAATAAATCCATCGAGGGCATTGTTGTTGGTTAAGATCTAGCACGGTTGCGTTTTAGTTTCCCCCGCATTTCAGTACCGAAAGACGAATAGGATATGCAAGAAAAACAAAGATACATGATATTTTTTTTTTTTCAATTTTTTAAGCATTTCTTATTTCCTCCGTTGGTTCGCTTCTTGCTTCTAAAAAGTCTAAAAATATTTACTGTGGGAAAAATACTGTAATTATCCCCTGACCACCACGCTGGGTGACCGCTTTGCAAGTTGTGACAACATCGTTTCTCGGTCCCAGACCTCGTCTCTTCCCCCCCCCCCCGACCCTTGATTGTAACATTTTATTTTCTTGGCTTCTTTCGTTGAACGGTTTCAAACTTATTTTTCCATCGCGTAACAGTGAAAACACTTTGTCAACTTAGCCGTCAAGATGACATTTTTATCTAGAATACACTTACCATGCGCTGATTGTGTGTGTTTGTCTGTAGTTTCACTGTGATAGATCTCGCCTTCTGAACCGTCAGCCTAATCCATGGCCATCCCGCTGCACGCATCACGCAAATGACACCTTGTTTCGGCTTGTGAGAAGCTATCGTCCTCGTCAGAAGATTGGACTTTCTGCCACTCATCTTTTTCCTTGTCGAAATACAGTTCAAAATGGTCTCTATATGTCCTCACCGATACATTCTCTTCGCAATGAGGGCAAAATCGCCGCTTCTTTGGAGCCATGCTCACTTGACTACAGCTGTAGAATCTTTATGAGCCTTCGATGCAGCTACGCGGCGGTAAACCCGGCAAATTATGCAATCAATCGATCAATCATTAAATAGCATCACTTTGTCGTAGAGCACCAATGAAAGTCCAGTTTTTTGCCTTGTTGGCTCATTTATTGGCTCAAACTAGAACTGTTGACAGGAGCGGGTTTACAGGCGGAGTATTTGAATTTGCATTGTCGTCATTTCGTTCCTTTCTCTCTTGCGCCGATTTTGAATAAGCACTTGGCTTCGTACGGAAATTTCTTCTTTTTCTTAGACAGAAAATGGCTCGTGTTCCACCAAATCAGCCGAGCAAACGTCGCACTAAGCCTTCGAGGCCGACTTCTTCCAGCAAGAAATCTGGGAAAAGTCCTGGTCGATTTTATTCGAATTCCGCGAAGCATTCAACGCCGCCTGCGCCAGAAAGCCCGCCAGAAAGCCATGATGATACAGAGCAGCACGAATCGACATCGTCGTGTTCCCCGTCTTTGTCCATTCTAAGCAAATCACAAAGCAGTTCCTCTACAAGTAGACCACAAAGCAATAATCCCTCTCCAAGCAGTGCACGAAACAGTTATTCCTCTCCAAGCAGTTCCTCTCCGAACAGTACACAAGACAATTCCTCGCCGACTTCTATCGCCCCGCTGGTTCCTGGTTCCCCGTCTTTGTCCATTCTAAGCAGATCACAAAGCAGTTCCTCTACAAGGAGACCACAAAGCAATAATCCCTCTCCAAGCAGTGCACGAAACAATTATTCCTCTTCAAGCAGTTCCTCTCCGAACAGTGCACAAGACAATTCCTCGCCGACTTCTATCGCCCCGCTGGTTCCAAGGGTTCCAGGAAACGATCGAAGCAGTGCTAATCGCCTTCTTGAACCCCTAAATTTGGCGTCTGCGCTAGTTGAGGTACCTAACTCTCGTGAAGAAGATCTTATGACCAAGCTTGAAGCTTTATTTGAAAGCCAGAAAGAACTGTTTGAAAAACACGCGCAGCGGGTGACAGAGCAACAGCAGAAAGGGCGGGAAAATCCTCCGAAAAACAAGCGTCTACCTAAGGAGCTATCGGTAAGTTTCAAGTCTAAATACCACCAGCATATATGTCTGTGTTTTCTGTCTCAGTTTTTGGGTATCTATATTTATTTTTATGCTTTCAGCAAACCATGTTATCTACTTGTTAATGGTTGCAATTTTTTGTATGAACCCTGCTAGACACTAAAACTATCTTTATGTAAAGGATAAGAAAAAGCAAATCATTCAACGCAAAAATTTGCTTAATGATATTCAGTCTAAGATAAACAAAACAAATGTCATTTGGTCAAAAGTTGTGCAAAAAGATATGGCCCTTTCTAGCCAAGAGAGAGCAAGTTAAAGTAAAATGTTTCCAAATACAACCTATAGCAAGAGGTTTCTCCTTGCAAAGCATAGGGTTAGACAAAAAATAGTGAGAAAATATAAATATTCATTTCCCTGTACGTTTTTCTTTTATTTCAGGCCAATGTGAGAGAGGTCTATTCAAGCTTGACTGGGGTAGATGGAAAAGAGCTCACGTGGGATTTTTCTCAGAGGTTATTTTTTTTAGCAAATGCCTTTTTACCTCAGTTAAAACTAAAACGTCTGGTACACTAACATCTTGATTGTTGTGGTTCTACAGGTTTATTTTACCATTTGTTTGTTTTCAGTTTTCTTCAGTGATGGTTACTATAGTCGCAAGGTCTAAATTTGGGTTTTCGTTTTGTGAGGTTTGCTTAACTTTGCAGGCCATCATTGTTTTACACCAATATAATTCGGTGACGTGAACTTTGCAAGTCCATAATTCAGCGGGGTTTCTGTCTTCATAAATTTTACTGTCAAAACTCTTTGGTTCAGTGATATTGTGAGATCTTAATTTTGATTCATTTTGCGAGTGACGGCATTTGCCAGATCTTGAAGCACAAGTGTCATCCTGAGTGACCATCATATTATTGTTCCACTTTTAAATGACAAGTGATTCTTCTTTCATAAATTTCACTATCAAAACTCTTATGGTTTATACATATGGTACAGTGATAATGTGAGATCTTAATTTTGATTCATTTTGCGAGTGACGGCATTTGCCAGATCTTGAAGCACAAGTGTCATCCTGAGTGACCATCATATTATTGTTCCACTTTTAAATGACAAGTGATTCTTCTTTCATAAATTTCACTATCAAAACTCTTATGGTTTATACATATGGTACAGTGATAATGTGAGATCTTAATTTTGATTCATTTTATGAAAGTGACGGCATTTGCCAGATCTTGAAGCACAAGTGTCATTCTGAGTGACCATCATATTATTGTTCCACTTTTAAATGACAAGTGATTCTTCTTTCATAAATTTCACTATCAAAACTCTTATGGTTTATACATATGGTACAGTGATAATGTGAGATCTTAATTTTGATTCATTTTATGAAAGTGACGGCACTTGCCAGATCTTGAAGCACAAGTGTCATTCTGAGTGACCGCTGTATTATTGTTCCACATTTTAGTGACAATTGCAAACCTCATTATTTATACTTGTTGTACAGCTCAATGATGTTGCAGGGTCTTTTTTCGTTCTTTTTGAGAGTAAAGGCTTTTGGTATATCATGCCAAGTAACCACAATTAAATGTCTATTCTTCTAAGCAACTTGTGGGTTGCCTTTTAATTAAATTTTTTCCGGTTCTGACTGGTTTCACAGTTTACGTGTAATTTGGTCAGGGCTGTGCTCTATTAAAGCCTGGTGACCTGTGGCACCCTGCTCTTAAACTGTAAATGACAAGATAAATTTCTTTCAGTTTTATTTACAGAGACACTCAGAGCAGTCACCAAGAGTGTTACATGTAAAAACATGCGATATCATTGTAGTATAAAATGACAATTATTAAGTTAGCCATTATTCAACTCAGACATTTTCTTTTATCTTATTTTTTTAGCTTCTCTGATCCCATTAACAAAACTGTTAATGCTGCTATTGTGGATGGTGTTCGTAGCACTGACAGCACAACCCATATTTACACTATAAAGGGTACGTAATGGAGAAATTAATTTATCTGCTTAACAGTACTTAAACTTGACTTAATTCCTCTTCTTACCGAGTGTTAACAGTTTCACATCATGCCACATTTTTCAAGTGTTTTTGCTGTGCATCCATTCTTGCAGTGTGGTGTTGTCATGCAGTGTTCCTGTTTGTTTGTTTAGACCAACAGCGTTAGCTGACTTACAGTTATTGTCCCCCATTAACTAACAAAACAGTATTTTCAGTAAGATGTCTGGGCATGGTAAAGGCATTTCCTTTTCTTCCTCTCCCCATCATACTTTTTTGCTTACCCTCACTCATATCCTGTGCTTAATGCGCTTCTTGGCTAATATGTATACAGATATGACTTCAATGCCAAAACAAGCCAATGTGAAAGAGTTTTTGAGGCTCAAAATAAATGCAACATAGTGTTGACCGTGTGAGTTAATTTTTTTAACTAATTATTTATAAATATAAAGTAATTGTGTATTGTCTTTTATCCCTTTAGCTGCGATGCGTGTTCATTTTCGCACCAAAAAACGGCAGCAAAAGATCATAGACAGCAACAAGAAGGCAGATGTCATGAAGGGACAACGAAAGAGAAGCAGAAAAAACTTGGCAAGTATATTTTGTTAAAAGGCAAATAAATTACTATGCTATTTTCTATAATCTCTTGTGGAAAAATTGGAACAAGAAAGGAATAGTGTGCTTCGTACTTTAACAAATGCAGAATCGACTGAGAGGCATTTCTGGTTTCTACTTTAACACCTGTTGCAAAAAAATATTATTTTATATGTACTTCATAAAAAAGCTAGTAGGAATAATATACAGGAAGAATTCGTTTAGCATTGCATCATTGTTCTGCAACTCAATCATGTTTATGCTCGGTATGAGTAGTACATGTATGTTTATTAACTTTGGGTTACTTGTTGGCTGCTGGCTAAGTCTTGCTCTTCATTTTTCTTTCAGAAAAAAAATAAAAGGGCCAAAGCTCTGAGGGACTCTACCAGCATCAGCCAGTCAGACAAGGACAAGTACTGTACATGTATGTCTGTTGAGTATATGTCCTCAGAGGAGTCTTTGTCTGAACCTGAATCAGGAAGACATGACGGCAATTCCTCAGGTTTAGATGAGGACCTCCCAAACAGGAAAAGAATCTGTGTGAGACCACTTCTCTGGCAAAGCACAGAGTTGAATGGTTTAATGGCTCGGTTGGACCGCAAAATCACCCGACGTCAAAGCCAACAGAGTGCGAGTATGGTTATAGAACGCACAGTGGGACCAGCATCAAACTGAGAAGCAACAGATGATGCTCCTAAGTTTGCTCTGGCACCCACCACTTAGATAAAGGAACTAAATCTTAAACATACAGATAATTTTGCTATTAAGCTGATTTATAAGCACTTCAGCCCTATAGGAAAGTCTGCATGAAAAAAAAAAAAAACAACAAAAAAGAAATGTTATTTGAAGAACATTCAGAAATGAAGACATTTTAGATATTTACAAAATAGAGAGTTTTAGATCCAAGTTTACCGCGAACCTCTAACCGCTGGAGGTCACGTGACAAGTCTTTTGCGTCATGTTTGAGGTTTATGACGTGTGTTTTCAACATGGGGAGATAGTAACGTAATGATACAAAAATCTTGTGGAGTAAGTCTTTAACCATTAACAGAGGCATAAATTCAAGTGAAATGCTAAATTTGATGAATGCTATTGGATCTTGAAAACAAGCGCCATTCATGGCTGCTGATTCAAAATGGCGGCCGTAAAATTGCAAGAAGAACTAATGTAAGAATTTACAGCTCTTTACTGCTAGATAAACCAGTGTTCCTGTAAATTTTTTTTTATTTTTGCTGATTGATTTTTCTTCTATTTCTAAATGGAAAAATAAACCAGAATCCACGTCTTTAATCCACTGCAAATCTAAATCGAATTATGTTTCAACGTCAAACCACAAACGGTAACTACAAACTGCGGTTAGAGGTTCACGGTAAACTGGGATCTAAAACTCTCTAATAACAATAACACAAGATAAAGTTGACATGCATTATGATTTGGTTCCTTGTCAGTAAAGTTTCTCTAATCATGTTACTCAATAGACATTCCCCGTTTTTTTTAGTTTTGATTAAGGAATAAGTGAACATCCTTTGAAACTCAAGGGAAGGAGCCACATTAAAACTAGATAAATTACCAAGTTTAAAAGTGATTTGTCACAATCCAATGAAGACATTGCCTGCATCGCAGACACTCTAAACCTTCTGTATAGTGTCTGCAAATTAGTGCACAATATTGTGTTGGAATCCCTGAGTCGCAAAGACGTGGGTATTTTTGATTGGCTTGTTTTTTATGCATTTTGTGATTAATCCAATGTGAAGTAAAGTGTCAACAGGCCTAACATGACTCCAGTGAATGAGCTCATGATGGCGTGAAACGTGACCTTAGGGCCAGCTTAAACAACAGAGGCAAATTTACAAACCATTAAATTTGGCTTGAAGGAATTCCCTCAAAACCTTTTTTTTATGTTCAGATGAAGGCTTTTGAGTTCAAACTACTCCGTCACTGTTTACTGAAAACTCTCCTTGCTAACTCCCTTCTGTGAATTTTGACATGTCACTGCGCTCAACCGGGCCAATGGTGAGGAGTATAAAAAACCCGTCTATCAGAAATGCTCACTTATATTCTTGTGGCACTGCTCGATATCAGACAAGCTTCTGTGCACTAATTCTCAGACATACTATAAAAATGGTCAAGATGATGAGTGGGCTGGTGCAATCTCAATGACCTTTGTATGGTACATTGAAGCCACAAACTTGACCCTACCATACAAATATCTGCAAAATTTGGCATCTTTGCAGAGCTGTTTTTGTTAGGTTGTACCAAATCACTCTTCAACTTGGCAACTTTACTGAATTTTTAAGACATTCTTTCTAGTAGCCTGTAAATACAGCTGTATTTTCAGTCGTTGTGTCCATTCACCCAACATACTTGGAGATACATCTGGGTGACTGTCCACAGGCTTTTGATAATGATTGCCTTTTTCCAAAGAAATATACAGTGAAAGACCAAATTTCTAATACTAAACTAGAAAAAGGCGATCACTGTTACATCCAAACACGGCACAAGGATCTTTTTTCTCATTACAATTTTATTCTAAGAAAACGTTAAGAAAAGATGTCCCGAAAAGCACTCAAAAATACAAACGAAATGTGCTCATGCCCCCTGGGCACCCTATAATACTCCTTAAATTGAGTTTATTCAATATGGCCGTCGTATCAGTAAAAAGGTCTATTGTGTTAGGTTTTGTTTGCAACACCAATATCAATCCCATACTGCAACAAAAACAGCTGACCATGTGAATCAGGCAACATTTTTTTTGCAAATAATTTGATGATAGAAACAAATATAAGAAATTATTTATGCTCATAATAAATTAATACTGTACACGTAGGTTTATAATCAAATTGCAGATTTGCTTCCACAACTTGAAAAGCTTTTGACTACCTATAGGATGAGAGTAAAATTGGGGGTCGTTTCATGCTAGTTTTAGAAGTTTAGCAGGAAATAAAGCCCCTATATGTATATGCTAAAAAGGTGACAAAATTGACCTTATAATGTTATTGTTTTTATTTAATTATTACTACTGGGTAAAAAGATTTATTGAAGTTGTACCCAAATCATAGAAATACACAGAGCTCTGGAAAAGTGACACATTTTAGTTAAAAAATATTTTGAAATAATTGATTTGGTTAAAAAAGAATCATACAATGTATCTCCCTTTAGGGTCAATGACTAGCACCAGATACACTATATTATATGGCAAGATGCAAATAAATATTCACTGCCTATTTTGGGTGGTGGATAATATTCAACAGATGAACATAAGTACTTACAAATAATTATTTTAATTATAGAAATAATATATAAAAAAAAATCAATTATATTCTTTATTATTTGAGGAATATCACTTAACATGATAATATTTGAAGCTGGTTTTTATTTTAATACTTTTTTTTGTATATTAAAGCTAATAAAGTCATTTTATTCTTGAATTTTTGTTGTTGTCTAAATAGTTTGTCAGTCATTAATTTATAGTACCAAATAAAAATAAGAAACATGTGGATAATGATCTTTTGATCAACTTTGTTTACCTGAGCAAAAGTATGGAAAACTCCTTTTTGGCAATATTTGCCACACTGAGTAAAGATATGGAAAAAACTGATATTTGACCCAACTTTGCTACAATGAAGAAAAGTATGCAAAACTACTATTTTGACCATATTTGCAATCCTGAGCAAAATTGAGAATAAAGTGGTATTTGAACAAATTTGCTACCCTGCGCAAAACAGTGGAAAACGACAATTTTGATCATATTTGCCACACTGAGCAAAAGTACGGTAAAAATGATATTTGACCAACTTTGCTACTATGAGGAAAAGTATGGAAAACTGCTATTCTGATCATATTTGCCACCTTGGCAAAATTGAGGATAAAGTGGTATTTGGCCAAAATTGCTACACTGGGCAAAACATAAATAAAATGATTTTTTGCTCAGATTTACTATCCTGGGCAAAACTGTTGAAAAATGAGTTTTGGTCGCATTTACTACAGTGAGCAAAAATGTGTGAAATTATTCCTTTGATCGAATTTGCTACAGAGAGCAAACGCATTCAAAAATTCGTCTTCGATCGGTTTTGCCCATTTGAGCAAAAGCCTGACAAATTTCAGTTTCAGCATCAACTTTGGTACCTTTGTAAATGCCTTGAAAAAGTAAAAGTTATCCTTGTTTTTACTCATGCGGCAAATTTGAGGCAAATTCGGCATTTACCACCTTTGCCATCAATGCAAAATTATGGCAAATTTGATGCTACGCCATTTGGCAAAATTGAGCAAAATTGAGCAAATGTGGCATTTGCCGATGGTTTGCTCCAAATTTTCTATACGGGTAAATCCGTTTTTTCGTCCAGTGTTAATGAGAGCAAGCACCAGTGTCTAATCCTCGGTGATACGGAGTATGGTTTTTCCTTCCCAGTAAAGGACACGTTAGAGATTTTTGGAATGGAAATAGATAATAATCTGAATTTTTCTAAACATATATCAAATGTATGCAAAAAGATTAATAATCAATTTAATGTTATGTTGCGCTTTAGAAAACTCATACGCAAGGAAATCTTATTCAAACTTTACAAAGCGTATATTTTACCTCACTTTTATTATTGCTCCTCTGTCTGGCACTTTTGTGGAGCGCGCGATGCGGATAAGCTCGAAGCTTTAAATAAAAGAATACTTAGATTTGTACTTGGAGATTACTCGTCTCCATACAACACTCTTCTCTCAAAAGTCAGCTCTACTTCTTTGTTTAACAAACGCATTCAAAATTTCCTCATTCTGTTATATAAGAGTTTGTTTTTAACTCATTTTCCTACTTATATGAAGAATATGTTTTCACTCCGGTCCTCTTCCTATGATCTTCGTGGCAACTACATTCTTTCACTAAGTAAACCTAAAACAACTACCTATGGTCTTAACTCCTTTTCTTACTTTTCAGCTAAGCAGTGGAATGCACTGCCGGACTTTTTTCGTACCAGTTTTTTTGCAGACTTTAAGACTAAAATACAGGATGTTACCTTCATGTAGATTCTTTTTGCCTGACATACTTAAACTTAAAATTGTGAATTGTAAATGATATTTTCTTTCCTTGCATTTAATGTATATATATATTTTCTATATAGTTTTTATTTAGTGTCAGCTCGAAGATATTAGCTTGTTAGCTACTCTAAAATTCGAGTTTAAATAAAGTTTTATGTTATGTATGTTATGTTATGTCCCTTATTTCCATTCAAAATTTTCGCGCCAAGAATCAATGAACCGGAACTTTAACAATTTTTGGATAATGAAAGCGACAGGAAAAAGAACGTGCATATTTACGTTAAGTTTCAGTGATTTTAAGTCGCGTGTGGCTTCATATCCAAATAAGAATACGACCCATACAGATAGACAATGACATCATACCCACACAAGAATATGACACACACACTTTTAAATAAACTATGACACTATCCATCGAAAAATAAGAAAAAACCTGTCAAACCGGTTAAATCACCTACAAAATAGCAAATTGCCTTGTCTAAATGAGATGCCCCCGCATTTTATTCATGAGATAAAGACAAAAGGCTATGACGTCATCGGTGTCGTCATCGAGATTCCTGCGCAATAAAGGCCTAAAACATGCTTATACTACTACTTATATTTTAAAAAAATAATTCTTAAATCTAGTCGAATTGAAAGTGTTGTGTATT